AAATATTTTTCAAAGAATAACATATTACACTAAAAGATATATAAATATTATAAAATAATAATTTAAATAATAGTAATTTAATAATTGTAGTTAATAATAATAGTAATTTTTTTCTTTTTCTTCCAAATTTAGCATCGTATTTTTTTTTATTATAATTTTAATTTTAATTATTCGTCCAATTGCAGAGTAGAATGATCGGTGATGCAGCGTATGAGGCGAAATGGTACAATTCGGGTCCTACGCAGAGTCATATTGTATTATTGCTGATTTTAAGATCGCAGAGAAAATTAACTATTACTATTGGGAAGTTTATGGATCTTTCTTTAGAACGTTTCACGACAGTAAGATGTGTTTTTAGAATTCTGTTTTTCTTTGTTGTATCATATCTAGATTGTACATGAAAAGAAATACGTATTGCCAATTCTAAATTCTCTTTAATATAAATCGCTATTACTTTTAGATATAGATGTATAGAGAATATATATATTTCTATCTTTTTCTTATTTTATTGCATTTTTATATCAGATTTATCGATACAAATATATCGTGTTTTAATAGTTGTCGCACAAAATATGACAAGCTCTACCTTCTTTCTTTTAGATTATTAAAGCATCAGCGTCTTATGTGTCCGTGCTGCATGCTATGTCTTGAAGGCCGTGAATAGTTGAAGAGACAGTATCCTCCGTGTGTATATGTAGCTATTATGTCATAAGAAATGAGACATCTCGCGTATTCTAGTAAAATATTGGCATTCCACGAACATGAATGCTCGCATGTAATTACGTTAATATATTTCATTGGAATTAATGGACACTACGTTTTTTTTTAAATAAATGTCCTGCTCGATTCGCTAAGATATTCTTCCCTCATCATCACAAACTTTTATCTTCGCTTTCGATTTATCTTTCTAAATTTATCTTTTATTGTTCCCACTCTTTATTTCTTTCTGCTATTTGAAAATTTTAAATATTCCACGCACGCATTTGTATTCAACTCACGTACGTTTGCCATGCATTTTTAATGCAAATAACGGACAGCGATCGAGCAATGCGTATACAAAGGTGCATTGGACGCCTTCGTAGCTGCGTCTGTCCATATTTTTTTATAACTGACAATGATAATTGTCGAGGCATCGTTTTGTAGTTTTTAACTTCTAAGAAAAGAATACAACGGGAATCATGAATAATTACTATCTTATGCACATGGCAAAGTGGGGATTAACTGAGCACGGAATCCATAGAATTTTGTAGTCACATTGAAACTCCTCGACCGACGATATCCGAGTATTGAATTAAGACTATTGATTATGTCACAGTCAGCTTCGAAGCTCTTTTTTTAATCTATTTACTAAATTACATCGAGATCTTTCGAGTTAAATAATAAGATATTGAATAAAATTTGTATACATAGTAGTTTTATTTAAAATAAACAAAAAAATAATGATGAATCATTTGTAAAACTGTTCTCGAGTCCGATGGAGAACGAGATGAAACACACCGTATGTCGCTCCGTGGAGTACGGTCTTCGATTGATCGGTGTATGGCCGGGTACATCGTTTGCCATTTTACGCAAATTTCTCAGTATATTGTCAGTGATCGTGTTCCAGATCTTTCAGTATCAACACGTGATTGTGCACTTTGGTGAGGAGGATCTCACGGTCCTCATGGATGCACTAAGTGTAACTGTTGCTTACACCATTCTGTTTATCAAAATGATTATTTTCTCGTTTAACGCTCGGTAAGTCGCTTTGTCAATGCGATGTACGAGCACAGAGTTAAATGCAATTTATAAAACAAAAGTCTTCCAATCCGAAATTTTTTAGATAGCAAACTGCATAAAAAGAATTTTTCATTTATTTCGTTATTCACATAACTTTCGTAATATTTCGTGAAATAAAGACACCTCCGTGCTTTTCACTCATATCGATCAATATTTTTTTTTTAAATAATTCGTTGCAGTCTGCTGAACGAAATCATAGCAAGCATGTCCAAGGATTGGAAGGAATGTGACATTTCGAATGAATACACGATGACTAGAATAGCTTATGTTTCTCGTTGGGTCTCCAACGTTATAATCTTTTCGCACATGATGTCGGTATTCCTCTACGCGACAGGCACGTTACTG